CACCGCGTCGTAGGGGCTTGGCCTGGGCCAGCGGGGGGTCCATCTTGGAGCGGGCTGGCATTGGCTCTACTGGACATAGGGGAAACTTCTAGCAGCTTTTCACAGAAGCCACCCCTGCAGCCCCCCACTACAAAACCTTGCCATGCAAACCCAATACAATGTAGATTCTACCTCATTTTAGATCCTCATTTTTAATGGCAGATCCTGCACATTATCCAGGCACAGTATATTATCTTACACAGCAGTGTATCTGAATATCTTTTTGTATTCTTCATAGTGTACTTACCAGAAATTTGCTGTTTTTATAGTAATGATGTCTACAGTTCTGTCCCACTCTTCAGATGAATAGATTGTCCAGAATACAACGGAGATGAACAGCTTAGGATTTGGGGACTTGCCAATGAAAGAAATTGTGGACTTCTCCTCAAAGATATATTTAACACTGCCTTTAAAAAAAAAAGAAAACCCCAATTTCTCACTCTCCCCTCAGGAAGAACGCGGTAGAGGTGGAGCTGGCCAAGTGCAAGATCGACATGATATCCCTCAGCAGCCAGCTGCTGGACGCCATCCAGCAGAAGGTGAACCTCTCGCAGCAGCTGGAGGCCTGGCAGGTGAGCAGCCCCCAGTCACGACAGGGCAGGTCACCTTTGGGTGACTTTTCCCCCCGTCCCTGTGGGTTTGCTGCGTTCTCAGCCCAAGCGTCCATAGATAGGAGCGTTTGCTTTTGGCTCTGCAGGAGCCAGTGATGCAGTGGTGCTTGGGGGGGCGGGTTGTGAAACCCTGCTCAAAGCCTTTCAGCTGTGAGCTGTTAATTAACTATACAGGAATACCCATTTACAATGGAGAAACAAACTGTATCTCACAGCTGCATGTGGCATGGGTAACATGCACTTTGCAGAGTAACCTGCTGTGGCCTGGGGAGGGAAGGTGTCCGTGCAGGAGATGTCCCTGGGCAGGCGCAGCCTTGGAGATGTGTGGGCACAGCATGTCCTTGCATTTCTGTAATGGAGCAGAAAGGTGGGAGGCAGAGAGGTTGTGGCAATTGTTTCGCGGTATAACTGCACTGTTTTCATCAACTGAGAAGATCTGGCAAGATGGAGAAGCTAAAATCCCAGCTCTCCACCAAGGTAAATAAAAGAGCCAAACCCACAGCAGTTCAGCGGCTGCCCTGGAGATCCTTTACTTGGGGTCAGTGGGGAAAACCCACGTAAAGGCAGAGAGCCCTTGAGAGCAGACAAAGCTGTCTCCTCCTGGAAACTAGCACTGAGGGAGGGCTACTTTAATAGAAAACAAGCAGATACAAGAGAAAAGGTCTGGGCCAGTTATAGTGATTTGTTGCAGTCCATGCAAGACCCCGACTCTACTAACAACCAGCCTGACCGGTAGAAACCTCTCCCGTACAACCTCGCTCCTGTTTCAACTCCACTGTGTTTTCGTTTCTCTCTTTTTTTTTTCTTTTCTTTCTCCTGCTTACAGTTTGCTTCCTCAGGGCTTTTTACTATCTGGCTCCTTTGGTTTCTGATCTAGTGGCCTTTCTCAGTTCCTGTACCAACAGCTTTAGTCGTACACCCCTCCTGCCTTTGAGGTGAGCTCCCCGCACCCTCGCCAAGCACCCGCCATCCCCGTGCCTGCTCCATTCGCTGCCACCATCACCCATACCTGTCTCTGTCCTCACCGTCATCTGGCAAGAGGGGCCAGTGGGCATTCTCCATCACCCACCGATATTCTGCGCACACACACCCCCCACACCCCAGCACCAGGCCAGGGCACAAAGGGGCAGCATCCTACACCCCATGCTGAGGCTTTACCCTCCAGGTCACCATGGGGAAAGCCAGGCTGAGGCGCACATATCATTAATCCTCTGTATTCGGCATATCTAGTATCTGGAAAACTTCTTGAAATACAGACTGGGATTTTACTTCTCAGCCTCGTTATCTAGTAAGTGACATTCAGTGCTCTGCATAGCAACTGTCTGTACCCAAGTTCTGCTTCAGTTTGGATGAGTAGTATAAATTGAGACCTACTTACTAGTACACTCAGTATTTCGTGCTGGAATATCCCCAGCTTAAGGTTTTAACAACAGGCGTTCGCTTTCTCACTTCACACTATGTCATCTGATTGCAGCAATACAGCAACCCCAGTCCTGCTCCCATCAGCTCTCTGAGATAAGGATCAGGCCCACTAGCACTGCAGAAAGTTGTCTCCAACATACTGACCTAAAGTGTTATTACGCAGCAGCAAAATAGTTTCCAAGCATTTAATGTCCCCAGAACAGAAGCTCAGCCACAAAGGCACAAAACAAGTCAGGTGATTTATATATTTTGGGGAGCTGAATGTTTCTGATAAAATGGGATGAGATTCTCTGCTTTAGCTGGGCATAAATGGAAGCTTTAGTCTGATAAAATTTTGCTCTTGCACACTTTTAGTCTGCACTTTACCAAGGACCATCAACAAGATTACAGTTTTCTGCAAGCACATAGTCATACAGGCTATAAAATACGCGGCAAGCAAAATCCTGCACATCCGAGCCTAGCACAGGAGTAGCACAGGAGTGGATGTGCACCTCACCCCCATGCCTAATCTGACCCCCATCTTTATCTGACTGGGGGCAGGAGGGGCGTTACTGGGAGCAGGGAAGGAATACGGAGCAAACTTGGAAGTGAAGAGGGCTGCTTCTCTGAAATGAGAGCTCAGTGACTTCAGTGCAATAGTGACAGGGGCACCGTTGGGTTAGAAAATGCTGCAATGCCAACAGAGAGCTGCAGCCTGCATGGCCACAGTCACCAGCCTCCAAGGTCGCCTTGGGCAGCTCCAACCCTTATCTCATGCAAGGGAGCCCATCTCCAGCTCGTGAAGAGGATACGTGCCATTCGCATCTCCTTCAGCCTCACCCCTTCTGCAAAGAGCACAAACTCCTGCCCGGAATGCCTAGAGCACACCAGTACCATGTTATCCCGCTTTATGGGACCTCTTTATCAGACAGGTCTCGTACCGCTGGTGTTTGTCCTCCCTCCGCATCCCCAGACACTCCTGTGCCCCTGCCCAGTGCCAAGGCAGGGACCGCAGCTCTGCCCCAGCCTTGCTGCGTACATTTACCTCGAATCTCCACAGGCAAGTGCTGTGCTCTCTGATTCACGCATCAGACAGACAGGGACACAAATGCAGTGCACTCTCAATAGTGCATACTGTATTTTTAAATATATGTAATTCTTTAATACATATATAAAAATATATGTTAAAATCATATTCATCCCTTGTTATGTGGTTAGCCAAGGATCTGCCATGCTGGAGCCTGGGTGCCTGCCTCATTTGCTAGAAGAGGTGCCTTCAAAATCCAAGCGCTATACATTTTCACATGGCAGCTTCACCTCTGGAAACCTGTTTCACCTTAATGCTGATGTTTACCTTAACCTCTTCAACTCCCCCTCTGCCTTTCCCCTTTCCAGCCCTGCTCTAAAAAGATCCAAAGCTTCCCCAGTCCACGTAGCTCTGCACCCTCCTGCTGCCCCAGGGGAAGTCCCCATACTAAATACAGGTCCAGGCCATGGCTATCAATCCTTTTCCCTGCATAAAATGCTGCAACAAGAGATTAGCCATCGTTCAAGTTTCCAGTCCAAGTTGGTTGTTTTTATTCCACGTGGAGCTACAGAGCAGCTGGGGCACCCGCTGGGTGATGGCAGCACCTTCCCTTCCGTCTCAGTGCTGCCCTGATGGGCTGCCCTGCAGGAGGTGCCAAATGAACAGCACTTCCACCACTACAGCCCATCCAGAGTATCCTTGTTCTCACCAGATAGTGCCCTCAGTCCTAATCAGGGACCAAACCACGGGAGAACAGTTGATTTCTCCTGTGGGGCTAGTTTGTGTACACACATTTTCACTAAGCTACAGTTTAAATATGCAATTATAGCAGAAACAATGGATCTGAAGGTTTAAAATTTGTAGAATCGATAGCCAGGTTTTCGAGGAACACATTAGCACGTCATTAGCGGCAACAGAACTGACTGATTATTTTGTGTAGAGTAATTTCACTGTGCTGCAAACATGGATTAAACCAGAGCGTTTCTGATACATCTAAAAAACCACGGTGCAGTTGTTCATGCCAAGCTGTCAGTCAGAGAGCTCCCACCGCTCTGCTGGCTCTAGGGGAATGAGCAGGTCTAAGGGACGAGCGCAGTTCTCTTTGGTAAGTCTGGTGCAAAACCCACGTGGGGTCTGGTGGGCCTACGCCTGGCCCCAGCCCCTCGGCTCCCGGCGGCACCTTCCCCAAAGAAGCCCCACTAACAGTGGCTGTGCAGGCAGCTCTGTCATGCCTACCTGCCTGCCTGCTCCACATGGCAAACACATAGACGTGCTCAGGACAGACATTCTTACTTCTTCTGGCATTTGCTTTCAGCTGCATTTGTTCTTTTTTATTTATTTCTGCCCCCGAAGGGGACATCTGCAAGCTGCAGACAGCAGAGAAACATAGTTCAGGGGTGTCACAGAGTCCCAAGCAGGCGCGATGCTCCTCTGCGAGACCACCTGAGCAATTTGTCCCTCAGAATTGTGTGATTTACCTTCCTAAGGTAAAAAGCCTCACAGCAGCAAGCAAGGCTGAGCCTGCTGCCAGGTGGGGAGCTAGACCTGTCCCCACTCTTGTCATCTCTCCTCCATCTCATCACAGCACATTTCACACCCATTTCAGCCGTGTCCCTGCACCAGCTCCCTTTCAGCATCAGCTGCCACTAACAACCCTCTCCTCTCCCTCTGCTGCAGGATGACATGCACAGGGTCATTGACCAGCAGCTGATGGACAAACACCCGAAGGAATGGAGCCAGCTTGCTTATTCCTTCTCCAGTGGCTACGGCGCAAAGCGGAGTGCCAGACCCTCCCCCGTGTTCAGGCCGGAGCAGCAGGGGAACGAGCCCCTTGGGGCAGAAGGGAACCGTCTCTTTTCCTTTTTCAAGAAAAATTAATTTGAAAAAGAGAAACCTCTCCAACAATTCCTGCTTCAAGATGGGGAGTGGGGCAGCTGCCCAGCTTGCTGATGGACCCAACTCTGATCCACTTAGAAAAAAAGAAGGGGGCAAAGGAGTTAACCCTTGAGACTCTGCACTATTTACACTGCACCTGGTCTGAACCAAATGTTTACATGAATTGGAGATTTGCAAATTGACAATGTGATACTAATAGAAAGAAACTTTTCTTATTCTTTAAGTGAAGTGATGAACTTCAGGGTATATTTTAGGCGCTTTGACACAGTCCAGTTTCTGCTGTGAAGAATAATCTGATGGTCTTAAAAGCATTCTCATGCTGGAGAAGGAAATAAGCAGCCCCAAGACAAAGCAGCGCAGGGGGTTGAGGACTGCCGTCACAGCAAGCACAGGGAGAAGAAGAGGGCTGATTGCAAAAGAAGAGAGGGGAGTCACTTATACCACCCTCCGGTCCTGGCAGCTTCATCCATCCCGCTGAGACTGGAGTCGCTCTGGCCCCAGCATTACCATGTTTTGACAAGTGTAGCTTTCTCCATGATGGAAGTTGAGCCCTCACTGCAGATCCTGCCTGGGCGCCATCTCCCCTGCAGCTCTGCGTAGCTGTTCAACCCTCACTGGGAATCCAGGCTCCTCGCAGATCAGGGCAGTTGTAAGATGGCTGATGTTACTGTCTTCTCTAGCTCCCTCCTGTTACAGAGATAAGAGTTGCAGAGTCTGTAGTTACACAGAATGTTAAGGATTTCTCCCCAAGAGACTGACCATCTACAACGGATTATAAGCTGGATAAAAGTTGTGGATGTGCAGTCCTGGGGCACCTACTGTCCCTCCAATGGCCAAAGGTAGTTGTGGGGCTTCAGCAAGTCACACACCTTTCCCCAAAGCCATGTAAACCTCCCAAACAGAGTTAAGAAACCTGTCATTTTAACTAGATAGGCCCCCAAAAAGCCTAACTAATAATTCACTGAAAGCCTACCCATAGTGACGTCAGTAGGTCTTTGATGCTGGGTTGGCATCTGATCCTCAGAAAGCGCGCAGGCATCTGCCTTCACTAAAGCCAAAGGCGATTAGGGTGTCTACAAAGCTCTGGAAAGCCTGCAGCTTACTCTGCCCCACACACTAACATTAGCTATGGCCTGACGAAAATGATGAGTATTTGTCCCTGCCTGCGGGTCATTTACTACTCAGCCCTTCGGCGAGCAGGTAGCCAAATCTCCATTTGACCGAAGATGATCAGAGCCTGCTTTGCTGAAAGCATGACTTGATCAACGAGAAGGAACATAGCTTATTTGGTGTATGCACACAGCGGTGCTGGAAATCCTGCAATACTTAAGTAGGGACCTTCCCTACGCACTAGATGGGCACCTTACAGCTCTTCTCTTTAACACAGTCTACCATCATAAACCAGCGAGGAATGCCAGCCTAAGTTCAGAGATGTCCTGCTGCTGTCATGCAATTTTCACACGTTCTCCCAGCTCACAATACCCACAGGCCCTAATTTGTTTCCCTGTTGCTTTAAAGAGGCTACCGCCTACGCTGTCCCACAGGAGACAGAGCTAGGTATACATCCAGCTCTGCCCTGCTCAGCAACTTAGGTGCTAAAACACCATCCTACAGGGAGCTGCTATCTCTGCTCACTATTTACAATAACAAGCTTTCTGCAAGAATTAGGTATCAAACACCTTCTTCTAAGAAGCAGGTAAGAAGTTGGCGGCTTGGGTTTTTTTATTATTATTCAACTTACCTATGGGATAGGACATCCATAATACCTCAGTACAAATATCCTCTCTGCCTACAAAGATTTGAGCATTCCCATGTTTCCTTGTTAGCATGAAACTACCACACTGGTATGAAATCATGCACTGAGGTAGCTCCATGTTGCAAGGAGCAGAGTACTCTTTGGGATTGAAAACGATGGTAAAATGCTGAGTGGTAAAACCCATTTACTTGAAAGCAATGAAACCTGGATTGCAGATCCTGCTCCAGGAAATACTTGAGTAAAGCACCACCAATACAGCTTGCTGCTTACAGGGAAAGGAGTCTGGAGTCTCACAGGCAGGGAAGGAAACTAAACCTCGGCCTGTCCTTTCCAGGCAATGCTCAACTGTTGAGTATCTGCTTGTATCCACTTGTGCAAGTGAGGGAAAGGGACTTAGTGCAGCGCCAAGCGTGCTCTCAGGATGGCAAGTCCTCATCCTCCCAGCTTACCCATGTTGTGACTCTCAACAGGGCAGAGACACGAGGCACACGCTCAGCATCTCCTGCTGTCAGGACTCAGTTATGCCCATATGTGTTAACATAAACTTTGATACCTGCAAAATTAGGCGTGGGTTCATGGGTGCCAGCTATACCTGTGAACAGTTGTCTTAAACGCTGTTTGAAAACAGTGCTTTGCTTGTTGTGGAGAGCCATGCGAACATCTTGGTCCTCACGGACCTTTTTTCTGCTGTCAGTTGTTATTCCCCAGGCCCCAACAGCTCTCTTCAAGCCACATGCCCAGCAGCTGTGTGGGACTCTACCCCCGTGAGGATGTTTGTATCTATGTATGCAATCCTAAGGCAAGGGCCTTAAGTGATCCAATGAAGATGCAGTAATGAGATGAAGAAAGGTGCCTTCTGCTACATGTTTGCCGAGAGGAAAGTGACTCATTCAGTTGCAGGGGTAGGCAATTGAAATGCACAGCACATCTCTTCATTTAAGGAGGAACCTACCTTAATCCCATTGCAATTTTATTTATTTAATACAGTGATGGAAGAGATTGCAAGAGGAAAGTCAGCATGTTCTAAGGTACCAGTTGGATATGGTTTCTTAAAACTAGTCCCTTAACCCTGAAGACTTAGTTGCACTACTAAACCCAGAAACACAAGAGAATTGGGTTTAATGAACTGGACAACACACCAAAGGAGACCTCCTTGTGCTGAGCTGCTACTCAACAGGAACAGAAACTGCCTTAACATAGCAGCTAGGTTTTGTTGTTTTGTTTTCAAAAACATCATCAATGCAGTCCTTCACATTCTCATTTGTCATGTTGTGTTTTAACAAGATCCTGACTATTTCACCTTGAGCTGTCATTAAAGCACTCATCTCCATCCTGTCGTGGCCAGGAGCCTGGAATCATCCTTGCAGTGTTGGGTTAGAAGACGCTCCACTTGTGATACTTGATACTTCTAGGACACACATGGCATAAAGGAAACATCGGCTCCAGTCAATGAGATGGAGGAAGCACATTAATCCAGCAGGTACTCAGGATCCCGAAGTAGATTTAAGGAGTGGGATCAACAGCTCTAAACACAACACTCAGCCTTGCTTTTGAGATAATGGTAAATAAAGCAGTAGTGCTGCACAGTCACTGTTCAAATACTGCACAGAGAAGAGATGCCTGCTGAGATTAAGGTTACAAAGAGCTTTCCCACAGTTAAGTAACAGGTGACTGACTGGGCAAACGTTTATTATGCTAGCCTAAGGGAAAAGGGATCAATCTCCCTTTAGTAAACTCTGCAAGGGAAGCAGCTGTAAACAAGAAACAAGTAAGTGTAGATGCAAGGCAAGTCACTAGCACTTTATCTTAATACAAACGTAGATCAGCAACTTGCCGTCGAGATGAACAATAGATCGATTAGTGACCACAGAATAGTTTTGCACAGAGAAGCAAGCAGTGAGGTAACAGGCAGTGCTGCATGCACAAGGACTTGATAGCTGCATGCACTTGTCCTACTTAGAATGGTAAATTCCAGATATGCCTCTACATCAGGCAAGCTCTCTACTCCCCGCTCGGCTATAAAAAGCAAGATTGTTTTAACCAAAAAAGCCAAGAAAGGAAGTGTCTGGGTGCTGCAGCAACGATTCCCTTAGATTGAGAGGGGGAAAGCACACAGCAGGGACAAGCAGAAAGAATGTATCTATAGATATGTACATATACCACAGTGCTGTAATTTTTGTATGTAGCAGTAATGTAAATAAATGTATGGTTTTTATAAGATACATATTATAAAAATCTATAAAGGCATATTTTTAGTAAAAACGATGCTCTACTTCTTTTGTAAATAGTTCTCTTCAGAATAAAACAGATCATTTATACGATACCGTCTCAGCTCTCAAGTCACTGCTTATCATGCCTAGCTGCAGAACAAGCTCACTTTTTGAACTGTCATCTTAACACCTAACAGCACCTTTAGTACGTCACCATCCCGAGAAATTCAGCCACATAAAGCATTTGCATGTGCTCAGAAGAGAACGGTCCTGGAGAAAGAACATTTGAAGCATTTACATCTCCTGCCGCACAGGAAAACAGAAAGGCGAGCTCGTAAATCATCTCCACCTTCCAGCCATTTGTATCATTTACTGGCCTTTATATGGAGGGATATGCAAACGTTAACGAGTTTAGACAGAAAACAGACGGACAATGAAACACCTCCAGCTTGCGCCAGCTGCAGTTCAGACCATCTGCATGTCCTCAGGATTCCCCTTTACATAGTCATACCAGAGCAGCGCAGACAGAAGAAAAGGCACCTCCCCACAGCAAGCTTTCATCACACTTCTCCAGAAATGAGGGCTTGCCTTCAATAGCCCGCTCGCGCGTCAAGGGCAGGCGGGGGCAAGTGAATGCTAAGGGCAACAAGCACAGCGACGGCTGCCTAGTTCCTACACAGAAAAACAGACGTTCATTTCCTGGGAAAGCAAGGAGAGACTCCAGGTGCTTTTCAATCAACTCAGGGTCTGACCCCTGCCGCCTTTGAGAAGCTTTCAAAGCTCGCTCAACGCTTGTTGTTGAACAGAAAGACAAAAGATTGTAGTAAAATCATGAGCATCTCACTTTCACGCAGAAATAAGGTTACCAGTTCCAGCTTACTCTCTCATTCACATGTAAAACTAGAATAGCAATGAAAAATTTGAAAGCATTAATTGCCGTTTTGCCAATACCGCTTCCCAGAAAAAAAAACCCAACCTCTATGTACAGCAGCAGAGTTCACCCCCGGCTTGCCACC